TCTTTTCTCCTCAGTAAACTTAATAGCGATTAAATTTTTATCTTGAAATTAGCAGTTTTTAATTTTAATATTAAACTTTATCATATAATCTAGTAATTATTGATTAGAATAAATTCTTTTTTAATACTACCCATATTTTAAATATTTGAATAGCTATTATGACTTCGTTGTCAAGCTTTTTGAATTTTCCTATACTTGTATTTTGATTGGTCCATCTAGCTTTTGTAACAACGTTTTCCCCTTGTGAAGGATTGTTAAATTAATTCGAAACATTTAAAACCATTTATTTTACATTCAACATCATCACTTGATAAGACACTGAGAGTGTTGAAACAAATGGCTATTTTTGTAGTGATTTTACAACATATTTATGTTATAAATTTTTTTAAATAAAGAATTATATCTGCTCTACTTTGTATTGAGCACTCTTTTAAGAATAGTATATTTGTTGGTTATTGGAATTCATTCCGTATATACCAATCATATACTTGGGTATTATATATATATATATATATATATATATATATATATATGTGTGTGTGTGTGTGTGTAGGGTGTCCCAAAAGTTTTGCTCAATTTTTTATTTTATTGTGTTACTGGTTTCTTGTATTGAATGCAATTGCGATTAATTTGAATCATTTTGTTTGTAGTTATTGTTTCCTCATTGTTTCATTTGCAGTTATTATTCACCATTGTTCTATTCAATAAAATTAATTCTAAAACCTACAATAGTTCTCAATATAAAAATTGGGCAAAACTTTGGAATAAGCTCTCTCTCTCTCTCTCTATATATATATATATATATATATATATACACACACACACACAAATTCAAATTTCCATAATATAGGTTTAACTTAATTAGCTAATATATTTCCATAATTATCACTCCCCTCTAACTCTTCAAATGTTGAAAGCATAACCAATTCTAATTTCTATATTCCTTCTCTATAACCTCTTGACACTATATCAATTATAATTTATAAACTTTCCCCTACTCTAAGGTCTCCCCAAATCTCTTTCCTTTAATCCTTTTATCTATATGTTTTAAAGTTAGAGCCCTTTTTATTTCTCTCTTTGTTTTAAATTAATATTTCATTCTTCATATAACCCCAAATTAATGTCATAAGGTAAATATTCAGATTTAATTTTATTAAACTTCTTCCCTTTAAGACAAATACCTTCCACCATCCCCTGATCCTTGTCTTATGTCTTTCGTCTGACTGAAACATTGAAATGGATAAATTTTGTATTAATTTTTTGACAGGTTGAGTTTTTTCTTTAAACTTTCACAGTAAAACTTCTATTTCTGACACAAACTCAGTCCACACCATGATAATTAGACAGATGACGGATATTTTCATCTGCTATATGAGGTGATTTTCGGGTTTATTGTTTATCAATTATTTGCTCTGTAATAATAAACACATTAAGCTCTTTTTGTAGATCAGTTTTAATATTTATATTTTTTATAATACTAGGATCCACTTGGATTATATACTAACGGATTTATTACCTTTACTGAAAAATTCTTAAAAATAATTTTTTTGTTCAAGGTAACTATGTTCACTTCACTAAATCTGAACTTTGTATTTGTCTACAATATGTTTGCAGCTGACTTGTCTAGAGTGTCAATTTATCAAGACAGGATTGCATATTAAAAAAGCCACCTCCCTCCATCCTCTGACCTTATTTTTCATTTTCCTATTTTAGCTTAGATTAATTGGTTAATCCAGATATGCCCACAAGTATATTTGTTAACTCTAACATTAGACTTCCCCACTTTTTAACTTTCAAAAAAGGTAATGATTTGTTTTTAAATTTTCCAAATAAATCATATTTATATGTTCTTTACCATTGCCCGAACAGGAATGACTATAGTGCTGAAACATGAAAGTTTTTGTGTAGTGATGTAAAATGTTTTTATTATAATCTATTATAATAAAAATATTTTAATAATATTTTGCTCTACATTGTATTGAGCACTATTTTTTAAAAGTAAATGCTAAAACTATGGATTCTAACTTTCTAACTGTTCTCTTTCTTAAAGATATATATATTTATATATATATATATATATATATATATATATATTTTAAAGATATTTTTGTAGGTACAAAATTTAATGATCGAAATAAAAGTATAAAACTTAATATTACGAAAACATATTAAAAAAAAAAAAATTGAAGCAACCGTTTTTGCTCCCGCTCTTCAGGCTTCAACGGGAGATTTAAAATTAACACAGAAAAATGTACAATAAAAGGAATTGTAAAAAAAAAAAATATATGCAAAAGGAACTAGAGACAAAAGACAGCGAGTCCCAACAAACACTCACGTTGTTTACACAAAGAAGGCTTATGGGACCCGATGTAAAGTGCCTCCAGAACCTTTAAATGAAATAGAGAGTGAAACCGGGACAACACGGTGAACCAGTCAAATTTGGCTGCACAATCTCTGTTCTTTAATAGGTGTCCGCATATGGTGGAACTATAGGTGTTCGGGACGAGTCCATTCAAAGGCAGGGTGTGATTTCTAATTTTAGTAGGAACGTGTTGTTTTATTCTCATGTCTAAGCGTTGAGTTGTTCTCCCTATGTAGTCGGCTCCGCAACTACAAACGTATTTGTAAATAATTAAATTAATTTGGTGGGGAGGGAGAACGTCTTTACACGCAGATCAAAACATAGGGCGGTTTTGAAAAACTATACGTACCTCAGCAGAGAAAAAACAACAACAAACATTGGATGAAATTTGTTTAGCTACTTTTTCACATTTGGTACCAATCCAGGGTAATCTGAGGTAAACTGGGCATTTTTTGACAGTGTAGAGCTTGACACTTCTGAACTCTTCAACTTTACTACGGATAACTGAATTAACAGTATCAAGCTGATAACCCAAATTACATAGGGTATCCTTAATAAAGTCGATTTTGTCGTTCAAGAAAGGCTCAGAGCAGATCTTTAATGCTCTATGTAGGAGGGTTTTAATAATGTTAATCTTGTGCTTAGTGGGACAAAAAGAGTCCCAACGCGTGTACAACCCTGCACAAGTAGGTTTTCTATAAACAGAAGTGAAAAAACCTGTTAATGTGCGATGTACTAATACATCCAAAAAGGCCAATTGATGATTGGACTCTTTTTCAATAGTGAACCTCAGTGCCGGATGGATACCATTTAAAAACGAAAGAAACTGGTCAGCCTCAACTTCACCGTTAAATAAACAAAAGTTATCATCAACATACCGACAGTACATTTGAGGACAAAGTAGATTCTTTCGTATCTTTTCTTCCTGAAAGCCAACAAATATGTTGGCAAGTGCTGGACCAAAAGGTGAGCCCATAGTGACTCCGTCGATCTGTCGGTACATGGTGTTGTTGAAACAGAATTCGACGCAAGACATGGCAAATTTCATCAATTCCCGAAATATTGATAATTTGTTGGCTTTACATCGGGTCACGCAAGCCTTCTTTGTGCAAACAACGTGAGTGTTTGTTGGGACTCGCTGTCATTTGTCCCTATTTCCTTTTGCATATTTTTTTTTTTTTTTTTTACAATTCCTTTTATTGTACATTTTTCTGTGTTAATTTTAAATCTCCCATTGAAGCCCGAATGGCAGGAGCGAAACCGGTTGCTTCCCCCATTTTTTTTAATATGTCTCGTAATATTAAGTTTTATACTTTTATTTCAATCATATATATATATATATATATATTATATATATAAAGAGAAGGCACAGTGGAGTAATGGATAGCGGCTTGGATTGAGGAATCAGAGAGCCAAGTTCAAATTCCAGTCAAATCCATAACATTCACTTATGTGCTAATACCCTTGGGAAAGGTATGAATCCTTTTCTTCTCCCTCCAGGTATGGGTAAATAGCAGGACAGTGCGGGTTCTATAGCCTTGGATGGCAACTAGTCTAAAAGAAGGACAACTCTGAATTCAAAACCTGTGTAGGGTCATTTGGGGACCTTGTGGCATGTAGTGCACCAGGTCTCTGTATTCTGCCCTTCAAAAAGTGTGGATGGTTCTGCACAAAATCTTCACCACTATAATCAAATCTCATGTGCTGGTGTTGGGCTTTCGGTTCCTAGGAACTGAGCTGCTTGACCCTCATACATCAAATTTGATGAGAGAGAGTTGAGTTTATATATATATATATATATATATATATATATATATATATATATATGTGTGTGTGTGTGTGTGTGTAGTCTGAGGCAAAGTAATGGATGCACATATAGAAAGTTGATTTTTGTATTTTACCAAGACAAGTGAGTAATAGAATTTGTTTATTAATACAGGTGTACATGTGTACATTATACAAGTCAAGAGATGATTTAGTATTTTGCTGGGTAACATTTTGCTTTAATTATGGTCTTAATTCTTCGTAGCATGCTTCATAGCATTAGTAAGTCAACATCTTTCACCAGATTTTTCCAGGGGCCTAGTCAGAGTCCTGACTTTAACCCAATTGAAAACCTTTGGGTGATAATGGACAAGCGTGCACATAATAGAAAATTTAACACAGAAGATGAGCTTTTTCACAAATTTAAAGGAATGCTGGGAAAATCTGCAGTGGGTCATGTCTCATTGGAAAAATATGAAAAAAAAAAAAAAAAAAAAAAAATGACAAAAAAAAAACAAAAAAACTAAATAATAATGGAATTATTTATTTTGTTTCAATTATTTTGCACAAGGATATATATATATATATGTAAGGGTGTTTATAATTATTTACTCAGAGTTATAACTCCCTTACAGATTGTTTAATATTTTAATCAATATTTCTCTTTAATAAGTGACCAGCTGAAGAGAATTTGCACCATATTTTGTTTTTTTTTATGACCATTTCAATGTGTTTCTACCACTCCATGCTTTAGTAATGACTAAATATTGTGATAACACCAACAAAGTTGTGGACAATTGTTTGCATGTAAATACTGATAACTCAATATGCCCAGAAATTCAGAGAAAAAATAAAGCCAATATCCAACACTTACATTAAATTTTTCCATTATTTTATTTCGATCCAGTCTCATATGTGGCACACGAATCTGAAAATAAAAAAAGAATTGTTAATTGCAAGCATCAAAATTAATTTTATACTTTTTGTTAGTATCACTACCATATTTATCATCATTTCATTTTTCTCCACCATTTTCTGGTTTTGCTGCTTTTGTTTTACATTTGAAAAAAAAAAAAAAAAAAAAAAAAATGACCTGCTCCCTCTCTTTCCATAAGAAGAAAACAAAGGGGAAGACATTTTGAATATGAAAAACTGTATAAATCTTCTTAAGAGGCCAGCTTTCTAATTAATACTTACTAAAGAGGATTATTAAGATATTAAGCAATAAAACAGAATTACCAATAAAAATCAGATTAAGTCTTTCATGATATTTTCTTTCAGATGATAAAGTCTACTTTTAAACCATTTTAACTTATTTTTACTGTTAATTCCACTTTATGGTTTAACATTCTAAGCTTATCAACAATTCCTCTTTGGTTAGGGTTGATCTAAAAACTACTCACTTAAAGAGGAATTATAGCAACTCTTATTTTTCTTCTCTTCTCTCGAATTTATCTTACATATTTATGAGTCTACCTTTCTTTGAATATTGCTACAGGTTGAGAAATCTTTATCTGAAATTCTCTGGATTGGAAGTGCTCCAGTTTTCAGATTTGTTTTGGATTTTAGAATACAGCTATCTAACATGTATATAGCATCTATTTTTATAGGGCACCTTGGCAATGGATCTCAAGCATAAACACGATATCCCTTTACAGTTCATATTTTTTCTTTTTATGTGCCATGTCCTTTCAGGATGTAGGTGATCATGGCTCTCCACTTCCACCTATTCCTTGTGGCTCTCAATAAGTTTTGTACTTCTGCTAACTCTCCCAGACCACATTCTGTCATTCACTTGCTTAAACCTGCCAGGTATGTCATGCGTTGCTTTCATAACACAACTTATATAAAACTATCTTCAGGGTATATGTATAAATAAAAATACCCTGAAAATAATTTTATACAAAATTTAATAAATTTTGTGTACATACAGATACAGGTAATGACACTAGTCATGTAATGCTCTCACAGATTTTTAAGTAGTGAAATTAAGACTTCATGTAAAAATAATGTTTTGTACTTTCTGTACTTGTACAAAAAAACATGATCACTCTTTACAAAAAATATATATATGCAACATTTAAGACTACTACATCTGGTGTGAGAAACTGGAGGGAGAGGGTACATCATTGATGACATCACTAAGTGTGGGAAGGAAAATTGAGTAAGCTACCAAACAATGTTCTGTTTTGATTAAAATGTTACAATACGTACAGGTACAGTATTTGTATAAAAAGGAAACATGGATTTTGATTACAGTTAAATGTAATTAAACCTGAAAAAAGATCAGCATTTTATTCGTAACACTGCAATGCAATAATCATGCTATGGGTAGACATGTTGCTTTCTGAAATTTTCCATTTGTGGTAAATCATGTCAGCACCTGAATAAATTTTCAAATTTCAAAATTCTAGATAAAGAATACTCAGCCTGTAGCACATATGGTCTCATGCTCCTGCTATATATTTAGAGATTCTTTATAAAATCCAAAGAAGAATCTCTAATGTTACTGGTCCTGACCTGGCATCCCAGCTTCAGTTACTTTCCTACTCCTATAATATAATGAGATGTTCAATCCTATGTACAAAACTAGGATTTCAAATGCTGATTTTTTAGGCTCTTACTTTGAAAAATGGATAAAACATCTTGTTTTTATCAGTAATTTCATTTTATTGTTTAATCTTTTAAATTTATTAATGATTGTTTTCGAGTTGATGGAGAAGCTAGCCACTTAAGGGATTTTTATTTTTCAACTCTTTTTCATTTCTTGATAGTAATTTTCAACATGTCTCAACTTGTTCCTGCAATAGTTAACTTTTCCTCGATTATCCAAACACCTTGAACATGGTTGAAAATATATTCAGAAAATACAAAATTGAATACTTAAATTATCAAAAAAAGAATGAAGAAAAAAAAACAGAAAGAAATTTAACATTTATATCATCAAATATCATTTTCATATCCAGTTTATTTTTGATTAAAAACTTTGAGCTTTTCAGAATATTGAAGACTGTAGATTATATTTCTTGGTCTTGAATGATTTTTTTTTGTTCTTCAAATAATTTGATGTTTTATCTCTGAATTTTTTTTTTGTATTCTGCTCTTTCAATTATTTGTTACAACTCTAACCCCACCGAGAACAATAACAACAAAGATGAGGATATTAATCTAACTGTAATGTTAATCATGACAACTCCTTATCCCAGAAATTCAGGTAAAAGATTTTCTCTGTGCACTAAAACTACCAAATTTGCTTAAGTTGGTCAACCGTCTTTCTCTGTTTTTATTATAGTGAGATGTTCAGCCCCATGTACAAAGTTAGGATTTCAAATGTGGATTTTTTAGGCTCTTAATTTGAAAAATGTTTAAGACATCTTGTTTTTATTGGTAATTTCATTTTATTGTTTAATCTTTTAAATTTATCAATGATTGTCAAAATTGAATTGTATTAAAACTAATGCAATGCAATATTTATCATTTACCAATTTATAAAGAAATAAATATGAAAACAATTTTTATTCATAAATTTATAAACATTTACTAAATTATTAAAATATGTGAACTGACTATAAGGGAATCATTATTTTATAAAGTTTGAATCAATTAGCCAATATTTTTTCAACCATTTCAATAAATAATCTAATAAATAAATAGTGTTTATTATTATAAATAGTGTTGTTAGTTCTCAAGAACAAAGAAAATGTATAAATTCACTTTCATATGTTTAGATTTTATTACAATTCTAAGCATCACTTTTTAAGACAATAAACATTGCTGAAGAGTGAAGTTAGTTAAAAGCGGTCTCATGGGAAAAAATGTTCTTTTGACTTTCTGCTTTTTTGAAGGCATGAAATGCCATGTTTGCCAAGAAGACAGATGTTACTTAGAGCTACAAAGGATAGGAATTTGTGGAGAACCGTGATCGCCCATGTCTTGATGGGACAGTTCACATAAAAGATCTTTAATGGAGAGAGAGGGAGTTTTATTCTGTATACAAGATGGAGACACACTATGAAGCCAATGTTTCTTTAAATAGATAAATAAATAACCCACTGGGTGTTTGTTTTACTTTTTTTTCTAATAGTCTACAACTCAAGCAGTGAGGTCCCACTCAACAACCACAAAAGAGGCGGAGGAGGTTGATAAGGAAAATGAGTGATATGGGATAATTTTGTCTTCTGTGTATATCTAATGCCGGCTGGTGTCGCAGGCAGGGGAGAGACTTGGAAGAGGTAATTAAAAAAGCAGATGATTCCACCCAAAATCTTATAACAGAAGATATTTAACCTTTCTTTTTTTCTCTAGTCCTCTCTTTTGTTCTTTCTCTCTCAAAAAAATTTTCTTCTCAACTCTTTTGCAAGAATAAAACATACAAAGTCTGTTCGGAAAGTATCCAACCATTTTATTCAACCTTCATGTAACTTGGTAACCAATCAGAGAAGATCTCATTGTGCATACATGAACATAAACTCCCCTTTGGGTTACTCAGTTGGCAGTAAGACACTATTGAGTTTGTGTTGTACTTGTAATGATGTCTCATGTTAATTGTCACTCTTAAATTAGTTAACACCGACTAAAGTCCAAATTTGGTTTCCTCTGACACCTTTTTACCCAAAGCTAAAATCACAGTTCAATGTGAAACAATTTGCGACAGTGGATGAGATTAAGGAGAGTGCAATGAAGCAGCTGATGGTTATTCTAAAAGAGGACTTTGTAGAAAGTTTTGTAAAGTGAAGGGGGCATTCAGCTAGATTTGTGAAGTCACAAAAAGAGTACTTTGAAGAGAACTAAGGTGCCATTTCCCTAGGCAGGCTATTTTTTCCTTAATATTAAATGGTAGGATTTTTTTCCGGGCCTATGTTGTATACAGTCAAAAATAATTCTACTATTCCAGATGCCTCCTAACCTTGCTACCCTGTTAAATATATACCACCATGCTAAATCCACTGATCAGTGAGAGTTTGTAACATTTTCTTCCAGGAATCATTGATCTATTACAACACTAATCCTGAGTGATGGGCGCATGGCTGAGTGGTTACAATGTTCACATTCTGATCATGAGACCCAGGTTCAAATCTCACCACTGTCAATCTGTCAGGAAGGAGACTTCCTGATGTTATCAAACTGGAGGGGCTGATCCTAGCATGCAGCACCTTTGGAAAGTGCCTGAAAACCATACCACAGGTTGACCCAAGTCTTGTGAGTGAAATTGGGTAGACAGAACCCTTGGGTGCCATCGATAGCTGTGCTAGCATGAAGTCACAAGTCATCGTGGTCGATGGGTTGAGCATGCTGGACTTGTTCAAATTGTTGATCACACTAGATAACACGCTCTTTCCAAGAAACTGTAACTAAGGTCTACTCAGCATAGTTGCAGTATAAACCACAGGTGGGCTCTGTGGGTGTTGAATAAACACAAATGCGCCTGAGCAAGCATCTACAATAGGGATTGGCTAGGTGCCCTAATAGATGGGTATCTTTGAATACAAGTGGCTAGTTATACTACGAATCCTGAGTCATTGCTTTAACACTATTCAGGGTAAGGAGACAGCTGCTAAAAAAGAGATGACTCAAATGTTAAATATATATATTTTTCTGAAAGTTTAATTTTTTTTTAGGAAAACATGTCCAAGAATTATAGTAGTGGATTTTATCATCTTTCGGAGAGAGCAATGTAAACGGAAGAGGATGTGCACTTCAAAATATATTTAATATATTTAATTGAAGCCATAAAATTGTGTTCAAAATATTTAGACTTCGGCATTAAAAATGCCATAGAGGTTGATATGACGCCAAAACAAAATCAACCAAAAAAAAAACAAAAAAAAAAAACAACAATCAAAATATTTAGATTTCATCATTAAATAATCCATATGCCACTAAAGAAAAATCAACCAACCAAGCAAAATGTTTAGATTTCAGCATTAA